AACATCGAGGTGGGCGCGGCGCCCTTTCCCGTGTTTGTCCGGGCGCGAAGACAGCGCCCACGGCTCTGTGGTGGCGGCTGGACCGCGGACCCCTCGTGTTTCCCTTTAGTGTCCCCCGGCTTTGCCCGCCTCCCCCGAGAGTCAGGGTAAGGGGAGCCCCCTTGACTGTCAGTGCTGTGCACGAGGCCAAGGGATGAGCCGCCGACACCCCCAGGGGGACACTGAGCCTGGGACGTGCACCGGCTGGGTTTCTCCACGTCTGAGACCCTGCCCTCCTCCCTCCTGGGACCAGGGTCATTTCAGGGCCTTCTCTGTCCTGCGGGGACCGTCCTCCCACAGCTCCCGTCAGCCCACTGTCATTGGATTAGGGTAAAATGCCTCTTATCTGGGATTGGTGTCCTCTCCCCGGGTATTCATACCATCTCCATCTGATCACCTGCATAGCCGAGTCGCTGTGTATTATAGTTAAGGTTGAACACTATATAACATCACCCTATCTAAGGGGGTGTCATTCAAATAGTAGATATCTTTGCTATTTAAAAAAATATATTTTTTTTTCATTGATTTCAGAGAGGAAGGGAGAGGGAGAGAGAAACATCAATGATGAGAACCATGGATCGGCTGCCTCCTGCACGCCCCCTACTGGGCTGGGGATCGAGCCCACAACACAGGCCTGTGCCCTGACTGGGATTCGAACTGTGACCTCCTGGTTCATAGGTCGACGCTCAACCGCTGAGCCGCACCGGCCGGGGGACAGCATGGTTTTTACATTTTGTGTGTGTGTGTGTTTTGTTTTTTAAATCTCACTCAAGGACATTTTTTTTAATTGCTTTTTTTAGGGAGAGGAAGGGAGAGAGAGAAACATCAATGTGAGAGACACACATAGGTCTGCTGCCTCCTACATGCACCCCCTCTGGGGGTCAAACCCCTAAGCTAGGTGTGTGCCCCGAGAGGGAATCCAGCCTCTGACCTTCTGGGGCAGGAGGTGATGCTCCAACCAGACGAGCACCCCCAGCACAGGCCGGGCACAGC